ACATGAGCAACACTGCTTTAATTGTGGGATGGGCTTGGCGAGGGATGTTTTTACACCTTGTTCTGGCTTTAATAAGAAATGGAGGGAAACAGAGAGGGAGAGAGAGCTGGGCTTGGGATTTAGGAACGCCCTCCAAAGGGAGAGCGCCTCCCAGGCAGGAGCCAGAAGCTTTTTAAAGGATCACTCCTTATGGGGTCGAAGGAAAGAAACCCTATCAGAAGAGTAAAGAAGAGAAGAAAAAGGAAAATGGAGGGGGGAAGCAAGGATGTAGTGCATTGATAAAATAAACGATATTTCTCATATAAAATCAATATAGAAATAAGTTAACTCCACTTGCAAATCTGGACAGAAGCTCCCTTCCCCACCCCACCCCCAGTTCTGATGCATAGTTTAAAAACAAATAACACTACAGATATGGATATAAGTATAGATATAGAAGTAGGTTTAATTCTAATATAGATGTATTTATAGATATAGATGATATGCATGTATCAACTAAAAATTATTTAAAAGAATGGGGAATATACTTACAAAAAATGTTTTCAGTTAGTCTTGCAGGAGGGACATGGCACTCATACCATGTTACAAAGAGAAAACAGCAACAAAAACCACCACTCCACTCTCAACTCCAACCCGTGACATTAAACTTTTTCCCCCTGCTGATTTGGATCTGTGTTCTCTCCAGCTCAGTCAGAGGGCATCTGGGGGTTAGTATGATTCCCAAGCACACTCTATTAGCCAGTCGGCAAACTAAGATGTATGGTACTGTTGGAGCAGAAAGACCAGTAGCAGAAGGGAGAAGAAAGCGCTGAGTGACCTCCTTGGGCTCTCACAGCTGCTGTTTATGGCCAAGTTCATGCCTAAGTGGCTTCCGAGCAGGGGACAGGTGACAGGTGACCAGCTTGGAAGCGGCTCGGTTGGCCTCACCGGAGACCCCAGCTTTATGCTGGCCTGAGGTCGCCTGAGGGTTTTTTAATGTAGTCATGTCTGGAAAGTGGATTTGATATGACACATGATAATCTATGAAAATGTTAATCAATAGCGATAGTTTAAGCTGTCATGAAATGCACTTCTCTAGTCAATACTCATCTCCCTGAAAACAATGTCACTGTCACCAGGGCTTAATTTGCCCAGCACTTAAATATCGGACTCTGTGCATCAATGCACTCCTCTCCCTTCAAATACTGTAGGTAAACACATTTTCTCCCTATTTAAGGCTGGAGCACTCAGCCCGCATTTAGCTGAGCCGAATCCTCCCTTTTGAATACCTTGATAGGTCCACTGGAGGGCAAAATTAATACTTAATTGAATCTCACAGTCATCAAAATAATCAATACTTTTTTATTATTTATTCTTTACAGTCTGTTGACTGTTTCAAATCTCTGAGGGAATGGGGGAAAGGATTCATGGCTCTGAAACACTGTCATTTAACAAGGTAATTTTCAGTGGGGCATTAGAGGTTGTGAAACATATAATAAAACAAAAATGGTGGCTTATAATAGGAAGAAAGAAAAGAATTATATTTCTGCCATCTAACAAAACAGGATAAATAAAAAAGCAAGTGGGGAGGTGAGGCAGAGAGAGAGAGAGAAAGAGAGAGAGAGAGAGAGAGAGGAAGGGGGAGAGGGAGAGAAAAAGGGGAGAGGGAGAGAGAAAGACTGGCTTTTGAAGGGTTTTATCATATCAAGAGCAGAGCTGAGCTTTCATAATGCTGACATTTCTCATCCTGACAATTCTAAACAAGTGGAAAGGATGAGATCGCAGATATCATCTTTCATCACATTCCCCAGCTTAAGAACCAACATGACAGCTTCTCTCCCCTTTACACTGTTAATTACTAAATAAAATACTGCTCTCTGTCAGCATTAGATTATTGCAGATAGCGCCCCAAACATTACTCCATTGTTGTATGTATGTACATATGTGTGTGTGTGTGTGTGTGTGTGTGTGTGTGGTGTTTTTAGCCAGGGATACCTGCCTTGAACTCTTCAGGAAATAAATTAGGCTTGTGTCTCTGTATTGTAAATATCTGAAATAAAATCAATGGAATCGAAGTGGCCGATCCATAGTATTGGCAAACTAAATTGCTCATGATATATTTGCATTTTATTTACTGTGTTCATTAGCTGGCAAGAATCTGGACCTTCTGATATTATTTTGTGGAAAGAGTGGGGAGAAGGTGCTCAAAGTTCATAGAATTTCCCTGTCTCCTTAATCTACATAATTACCTTATTGTGCCATAAGCCACAGCCTTTGAACGGTCTTTAATTTGGAGCTATTGGTTTTACTCAATATCTTAAGGAAGCATTGATCAATCAATTAATTAGATGAATCACTTCTTTGGAAGCCAAAAGGCTCATTGGGTATTCTGTGACAATACTTGGAAATCAGACCTTGTGTCCAGAGGTGTAACTAGGGTGGAGTGACTGAGCTTTACCCAAAGGGATCAAAATTTACAGGGTGATGTCAGCACCTGCAGACCTTCTGAAAGGTAAAAATACCTGTGTTGCACATGGGCTTAGCAAGCACAATTCAATAAAATAAGAAGTTACTAAGATGCAATTTCCTCTCTTGCTTGGCTTCATGGCAGAAGAGCTCTTCTGTGATTGGTCTCAGGCACCCCTCCCCCTCCCGCACAGTGAGAGCCTTTCCACTTTGCAGTGTCCCAAGGTCTCTGTCTTCCCCAACACTTTATGGAGTCCTAGGGTCTAAAGTGAATTGGCCCTGGAACCACAATCACTAATTCCTGATTGTGGCCCTGAAGTGGCAGTCCTCATGCCCTTTGCAGCCTCCAGGAGAGATCTGGGTCCTGGCCTCTGCTGGCCTTAAAGAGCTGTAATAGGCGTTTGTAGCATCTTCAGGGAAAGCTAACATGAGATGCCACTGTTTGAGAAAGTCTTCTGTTTTCTTTGTGAGAAGCCAAATGTAACCAGGAATGCCTAACAATTGCAGGTGGTGGGGGTAGGGGGAGACGCCTACAAAGAAACCATAAACCCTTAGCTGTGTGCCACATACCCACTGAACAAGCCTGAACCCAAAATTCATACAGGAGGTCAACAGTGGAACAACCGAATTCTGATGGACTTTAAACCAACACCTCTAACATTTATTCACGTGGCCATCCACGTGATAAAAAAAAACTGACACATATCTCCATACAACACCTTACAAATATTAACTCCCTTGACCTTCACAACAGTCTTGTAAGGTAGGTACCACTGGCAACATTATACTCATTTCACAGATAGGGATAGTAAAGCTCCAAGAGTTTAAGCAACTACTTCACAGTTGCTCTCCTAGGACAAACCAGAGGGGAGTTGGGCTTCCTGTCTCTTAGGCCCTGTTCCATCACCCTTCCTACTGGGCCACATGCTTCTTTGTTATTGTACATGGCATGGACTCACCCACCTGTGTGCCATTCTCCTCTACGCTGTTGTTAGGCACCTTTGTTTTAGATCCCAATTACACAATGACATTTTCTGCTTCATTTTGCTTTGTTTTCTATGCCCAGAGGCCAGCTTTCAAGTAGGCAAATGAGAAGTGATAGAATCCTAAGAAATCTATGGACTAAGAGAAGTAGACATTCAGAGTCCAAGAAGGTGAATAAATCCAGTGGGCAAACAGCACAGTCACAGACGTGGGTTGTCCATCTAGTCACCCAACAGGCAAATGGCATCCATTACAACCAGAGGGATTTAAGTAGGATTTTCTGCCTATGCCACATAAAGCTTAAATTTTTAAACAATTGTCATCATCTATGCTGATTTGAGGCACTAGCAAATGAATTACATTGAATTTTGTCATTTCATTTATCTCATGTGCTTGCTCCAAGACAGTGAAGCCAGCAGTGCCCAAATCCAAAACATCAGGGATGGGGGAAGGGCAGCGACTGGAGTTTGTCCAGTGAAAATAGAAGATCATCTCAATTATAGAAAATGGACAAGGGGACAAGCCATGGGTGGTCTTCCCTTAACAAAATATCAATTTTCAATCAATTATCACTGCTTAGCAAATATGATGAAATATAACTGGAAGATTTTCTTAATATCTTTTTATTTTTACCAGGATGAAACTGAATTGGAGGCAGCAAAATAGCAAAGTGGGTAGAGCAATGGGCCTGGAGTCAGAAGACCTAAGTTGAAATCTGGCCTTAGATATTGACTAGCTGTGTGACCCTGGCCAAGTCACTTAACTTCTGTCTGCATCAATTTCTTCATCTATAAAATGAGGATAATAATAAAATCTACTTCACAGGGTTAAGATCAAATGTGAGGGTCAAGTTAGTTGACATATGGAAAGCTCATCCCAGTTTTAAAAAGTATATTTATATTAAAGCTCTTTAAAGTATTATTAGAGAAAATTACAAATTATCTTCCTCTATAAAAGGAAGGGGTTGGAATAAGTTATTTCCACATCATAAAATGTGAATCAAAGGTTATGGCTTCAAATGCCATCTCTGCTACTTGCTACCTGGGTGGCTTTGGGCATGTCTCAACCTCCTCGGATCTCAGTTTCCCTACCTGGAGTAGTTGATCTCTAAGGTTATTTTCAGTTCTAAATCCTAAGATCTCTATAAAGGCATGGAGTTAATAACTAAAATGCTATGATTTTCTGATTATCTCCTTCTCTTCCTCCACCAATAATTCTGAAAAAAAAGCCATTCCATTTGACCTGTAGAAATGAAACCAGACTTCACTCTGAGTATCATTTCTTATCAGAAAAATCACAGCCACCTGAGAAGGGAAGAAGCATCTGTATTTTCATCAAAACCCTAAAATTACATTA